AGGGTGCTGCTGTCGCGGGTCCCGGAGGCGCTCGTACTGGGAGTACTGGAGCTGCTGGGCCTGCAGGTTCGACTGGAGCTGGTGCTGCTGAGGGTGTTGGCGCTGAGACTACCACTGGCAGTCCTGTTGGGGGTGCTCCTGGTGTTGCTGGAGGTTCTGGAGCTGCTGGAGGTGCTGCTGGAGCGGGTGCTCCTGCTGGGGGTACTGGTGTTGTCCCTGCTTTTTCTGGCGTCGCTTCGCGGCCTCGACCGTACTACGTTCCACTCCTGCAGCAGGTTCTTGGTCTTCCACCTTCTTTTGGTCCTCCTCCTCCCTTGGAGGGTCCACAGCCTGTCCTGTCACAGTCACAGCTACAGCCTACCCCCCCTTTGCCTGCTCCTTCTCCCTACGCTGGTCCTACTGGAGGTCTTACTGAGCGTCGTGAGCCTGCATCTCGCCCTACGTCGCCTGTCCGTCCTGCTCGCGCTAGTGGTCGTGGTTCGCGTCCGCGTCCTCCTCCTGTCCCTGGCACACACACGATGTCTGTGCGTGCGTCTAGTGCTCCTCTGCGTGCCCCTTTGCCTTCTCCTCTTGAGTCCTCTCTTCCTGCTCTTGCCGACCCGGAGTCGGACTCTCTTCGTGCTGCCAGTCCTACTGTCACGCGTCTCCTTGATACTGTCGTCACTGACCCTTCTTTCGAGTCTACTGCTGCGTCTGCCCTTGTAGCTGAGCTCGTCGACTATGCTGCTCGCTGTCGCCTAGACTATGCTGCTAGTCTTGTCGCTGAGTCTGAGTCTGTCTGTCCTCCGTCCGTCGGGGGTGAGTGTGCCCTTGGCACGGACGTCCTTGAGGACAAGCAGGAGGAGTTCCAGTGTCTGGCAGCTGCTTCACCTCATCTCGTGTCCGTACTGCTTACCCCTGAGGGAGACCCGGATGCACTTGACATCCCGACTCCGCGCTCTTACGCGGAGGCGATATAGGTTCCCTACTCCTCTCATTGGAAGGCAGCTATGGATGCAGAGATGGCTTCCTGGAAGTCCACAGGCACCTACGTTGACGCTGTCCCTCCTCTTGGGGCGAACATCGTCAGTGGCATGTGGATCTTCATAGTGAAGCGGCCGCCGGGTTCTCCGCCTGTCTTCAAGGCGCGTTACGTGGCTCGTGGCTTCAATCAGCGGCAGGGAGTTGACTACTTTCATACCTTCGCCCCCACCCCGAAGATGACCACTCTTCGGGTACTGGTGCACGTAGCTGCTCACCGTGACTACGAGCTGCACTCTCTCGACTTCAGCACTGCTTTCTTGCAGGGCAGCCTGCACGAGGAGATCTAGCTGCGCCGCCCACCTGGCTTCACTGGGTCTTTCCCTCCTGGTACCCAGTGGAGTCTCCGGCGTCCAGTATACGATCTCCGCAAGGCGCCACGTGAGTGGCACGACACACTGAGGACTACACTTGCGGCTCCGCACGTCGCTGTTTCTGCGCACCGACACCTCTCTGCCGCCGTTCTACATCCTCATGTACGTCGACGACTTGGTCTTTGCCACAGCTGACACTACTGGACTCGCCTACGTGAAGTCCGAGCTGCAGAAGAGACACACGTGCACTGACCTGGGTGAACTGCGCAGCTACCTTGGCTTGCAGATCACCCGGGACAGAGCACGCCGCACCATTACCCTGACTCAGTCACACATGGTGCAGCAGGTCCTTCAGCGCTTCGGCTTCACGTACTCCTCGCCTCAAACCACTCCTCTGCCTACTCGCCACTCACTCTCAGCTCTGCCTTCGGATGAGTCCGTAGAGTCGATTGGTTCGTATCCAGAGCTTGTTGGCTGCCTCATGTACCTGATGACCTGCACACGACCTGACCTTGCATACCCTCTTAGCATTCTTGCACGCTATGTTGCTCCTGGGAGACACCGACCAGAGCACATGGCTGCAGCGAAGAGGGTGTTGCGCTACTTGTGCAGTACGTCGGGCATGGGGCTAGTGCTTGGAGGGCGGAGTCCAGTGGTCCTCACTGGGCACGCGGACGCTTCTTGGGCTGACGACCAGGCTACGCAGTGGTCGTCACAGGGTTACACCTTCAGCCTTGGTTCCGGCTCTGTTTCGTGGCGGGCTACTCGCTCGTCTTCTGTTCTCGGCTCTAGTTGTGAGGCTGAGATCTACGCCGGGGCCATGGCTGCCCAGGAGCTTCGCTGGCTCACCTACCTGCTGACCGACCTTGGAGAGCCGCCTCGTTCTCCTCCAGTCCTGTACGTAGACAACAAGGCCATGCTGGCCTTGTGTCGAGAGCAGAGACTGGAGCACAGAACAAAGCACATTGCTCTTCGCTACTTCCTTGCTCGTGAGCTACAGCAGCGTGGTCAGTTGCGGCTTGCGTACGTGGCCTCTGAGGCCAACACTGCTGATGTCTTCACCAAGGCACTTGCGTCTTGTGATCATCAGCGCTTCTGCACGCAGCTGGGTCTTGTGCCTGTTCTGCCTCACTTGCTTACCTCTTGACCTTGCTTGTACTGTTGCATATATATATATTCTCTTGCTCTTGCTTGTCTAGCCTTATATATATATATATATATATATATGTGATCCTGCATGTGAACTGGCCTTGTGGCCTTGAACTTGTGCTCGGAATGTGTGGTGACTTTGTGATCCACCCTTAGCTTGCTTTGCTTGACTGGTCTTGTGACCCCTTGTTCTCCCCCACTTTGCCTATGGGGGTGTGTCAAATTATAATCTTGTGTAGGCTCTAGTGGGGTAGCCTATATGGGGTACACAACCCTAGGGTTGCATACTTGTATCACTTTCATTCCTTAGTCATTCATTCTCGTTTCTTATCAAGCAGTACAAGCTCAGGGTGGATCACAATGTCACCACAAATTCTGAGCATAAGTTCAAGAAGCAATAGTTTAAAGTTCACAATTATGAGCAAAGCTAGTGGTAGTCACAACGGGCAAGTGAGGAGGAGGAGAGAGAGTGAGGGGAGAGGAGATAGGAGGCGACGGCTGAAGCTGCAGACACACGGGCAACAGGAGGCACACTGGCACAGCGGCTACTGGAACAACGCCCCTGAATACTGGAGTAACTGGCCCCGCGGCTAAAGTAGCGGCAGACGAGCAACGGACCCACGGGCGGCTGGCACAGCTGGCTACGACTGGGCTACCGGAGCAACTCCCCGGAATACAGGTGCTGCTGGCGACACGACGGCAACCTCCATACAGCTTCCCCACACTATCCCACTCCCCCTGGCACGCACGCGCTGCTACACCGCTAGCTCCACTCCCACGCACCCCTCTTAAACCCTAAACCCCAGTCTCCCACACATCCACCCCCCTCAGCGACAGCTGCAGCAGTGGGAGACGAAGGAGGAGGAGGAGGAGGAGAAGGGGACGGCACGCACAACCGACACCCCCACAACCATCACCCCCATGCCCGTCACCCCCTACTCGCCACCCCCATACCCTGAGTGTGCGGTAAGCAAGCTCACGTGTGCGCGAAGCGTGCACAAATGTGCGGGAAGCGAACTCGAGTGTGCGGTAAGCAAACGCAGGTGTGCGGGGAGGGGGGGCCGTAGGGCGACACGCGGGTCGACGGGGATGGGCGCACGGGTCGCCGGGGGCGGCGCGCGGGTCGACGGGGCCGCCGCGAAGGGCGACGGGGAGCCGCGCGCGGGTCGACGGTAGGGCGACGGGGCCGGTGCGCAGGTAGGGCGACGGGGCCGGGGCCGGAGCCGCAGGTAGGGCGACGGGGCCGGGGCCGGAGCCGCAGGTAGGGCGACGGGGCCGGGTCGACGGTAGGGCGACGGGGCCGGTGCGCAGGGAGGGCGACGGGGCCGGGGCCGGAGCCGCAGGTAGGGCAACGGGGCCGGGGTCGCGGGTAGGGCGACGGGGCCGGGGCCGCAGGTAGGGTGACGGGGACGGGGTCGCAGGTAGGGTGACGGGGCCGGGGTCGCAGGTAGGGCGACGGGGCCGGGGCCGCAGGTAGGGCGACGGGGCCGGGGCGCGTGCCCTCGGTGCGCCGCGACGGGTCCCCGTCGCCCGTCGCGGCGCCTCCAGAGGGCGACGCGGCGAACGACGGGGCAGAAGCCCGCCGCGCGCCTCGGGGCGCACAGCGGGCAGAGAACCGCCGCGCGCCTCGGGGCGCACGGCGGGCCGAAAACCGCCGCGCGCCTCGGGGCGCACGGCGGGAATAAAAATTGCCGCACGCCACGGGGCGTGCGGCTCAGAGTGTAGTGGTAGGAGTTGCAGCGGAAGCTAGGAGGTGGTAAGCCCACTCACAGGATCGATCCAAGGGGATCGACCTGCTCTGATAGCATGTGAAAAGTTTGAAGAGGGAAGAGGGACTGCACTAGCAAGAATGGGGATACAAATAGCAAACCCTAGAAGGGTTGTACTCGCTATAGAGCACCCCACTACAGGCTAGAGCATAAGATAACATTCTGACACTAATACCCCTTTTCTTAATTACCAGGTCTTAGCATCAAAATTAATCCATAATATACCTGGGTAATTCATTGTCGGGTCCGTGAGAATAGCGGACAGCGCAAGGCTGTGACTGGGTTCATTTCTTTCAGGTGGACACGACGTTCTTCCAATCAGATTCAACAACTCCGTCCCCCTCCTCCCCAAGCTCCCACCAGCACCGCAACCGTTCAAGCCCCCCTGGCGCAACACGTTCCGCCCAGCCAACCACCAACTTCTCGCCAGTGGGTGGCCCGCAAATCCTCCATCCCACCCTGCTCCATTCCACCCTCCATCCCTCGCCTTGCCAAGCTGAGCTCCACGAAGAGCCATGTTTATCAGGCTTGGGGGAAGCGGTTGATCCCAGCCCAGCTCAGTCCACCTCCACCCCAGCCCCTCCCCTTCTTCGGCTATTCAAATCTGTTGGTTGCGGCTAGATGTTACAAGAACAGACATAGCTGCAGCATTTTTTGAGCATCTCAGAAAGTACACTTGGCCACCCGCCATCGCGATTTTAGCGGCCTTAGTTTCAACCCCCCGGTGTTTTCCCGTGTTCCGGCTGCCATGATGCAGCCACCGCGGTGGGTGACAGTCTTGCTTCTGCTGGCGGTGTCCGTGCCGGCGCGCGTGGTGGCGGCACATGTGTGCCCGCCGCTGTCGTGCGCGGCGACGCGGCTGGGGTACCTGTGGGACCACAACAACCAGGGCCACCTGGGGGAGGAGGAGCTGCAGGGCGACCTGCGCAAGTCGCAGCACTGCATGCTGCTGTGCCGCCGCACGCGTGGCTGCTTCATCTGGATGTTCCGCTTTAGCAGCGACGGAGGTGAGTTCGCGATGGTCGTGACTCGATTCTTGATTACAAGGTGAGTGCGCGAGGCTTGCTTTTGAACCATACCGATATATCGAACCGTAGCGAGTGCATCCGTGGTCTCAGAACCATTACGCAGGCTTCCTCGGTTGGTCGTCGTTTAGCGGGCTGTATGCTACACAAGCCGCTTTGTGTATATCTCTGCGGGTCGTGCCCTCACCGTACAAACGTTGAGCGCTCGATAGCCTGGCTGACACTCTTGTGAGTGCGAACACGTATTGTATCGCATTCAGTACGCGAAGACAATTGAATGCCATGCAGCGAGCTTGCCTTTTCCTCTCATTTAAATTCCTTCCCTCCATTTTGAAGCGTACCTATGTTAGGAACAAATACACAAAGAGAAAAAGAAAAGTGAGAAAGAAAGAAAGAAAATAAAACGAAATTAAATTAAGAAGAGAAAAAGACATGATACTGACCTACGCACACTTGTTTCGTAATTCGTGCCCGTTGTCATCCGCCGTAATTCATATTGGCACCAGAGTATCGCTGGTGTACATCGGTACAACCTAACCGCGTGTCACATCGTCTCTATCCACCCCAACCCCCGTGCGCTGCCAATCCCCCACGGCCGTTGCGCGTGCTCGCAGCGTTCTGCCGCATGTGGTCGGCGGAGCAGAGTCCGTGCAACGTGGACCCCAGCGACGGCGCGAACCCCGTGCACTACAACCCCACGCCGCCCTGGGAGGGCTTCTTCGGCTTCGGTGGCAACTGCTCCTCCGACGCCGATGCCCAAGGGCAGGCGCAGGGGCAGGCGCAGGGGCAGGGGCAGATTCCTCTTGGGTACGGGCAGGGCCCACCCCAGGGAGGAAACGGTGGAGACCAGGGCCAAGGACAGGCGGGACAAGGGCAGCAACAGGGGCAGGGGCAGTTCCCGCAGGGGCAGTTCCCGCAGGGGCAGGGGCAGGGGCAGGGGCAGGGTTACCAGCAGCCGCAAGGCGCGTCATTGGGGTCGGGGCAGCTGCCTGCGCCTGGTGGCGTGGTGTCAGGGCCGCGGGGAGACCAGTGGCAGGGCGCGCAGGCGCAGGGAGGGGCGCAGGGACAGGGGAATGGTCAGGAGTGGCAGGGTGCCAGGAGACAGGGAGGCTGGCAGGGGCAGGGGCAAGCAGAGGGTCAGGGACAAGGGCAGGGGCAGGGGCAGGGGCAGGGGCAGGGGCAGGGGCAGGGGCAGGGGCAGGGGCAGGGGCAGGGGCAGGGGCAGGGGCAAGGCCTGTTAGGGGGGGGATTCGGTGGAGGTGGAATGAATGGGAGCGCTGTGCCTGCTGAGGACCTAACCGTGCCCAAGGAGTACTTTCTGCCTGCTAGAGGAGGTACGAGTCCGACACGGGCTGCTTGAGTGGAGGGTAATTCGATTCATTCGTCAACATTGTGCACAGCTGTGGTGTGTGTATATGTTGCTGATTGCCATGCTTCTGTGCTCACATGCTTGCGTGCATGTTATTTCCTCTCACTGCCTAGTTGCATCTCAGTTTGTGTCATTCTTTTATGCAGATGCTCGTCACGTTTCACACCACTTTATCCCTCAGTCTCATCCCCCTTTTCCGCCACCTTCTCTCTCCCACGTGCCCCCCCTCCTTGTCTCCCACCAGTCCCCACGGAGCCGTGTCCATGGCTCAAGTGCAACGTGGCGACGCGGGGGTTCCTGTTTGACCACCCGGCACGCGGCCACCTCACCGTCATCTCCACCGCCACCAGCCGCCGCCGCCGCGCACATGACTGCTGGAGCGCCTGCCGCAAGACAGAGGGGTGCGCCTTCTGGATGTTCGAACAGGGCAACTCCCCCACAGGTGCGCTCACAAGGAAGGGAGGATGGGTGCGTGGGCTTGGCACCTGCAAGTCCTACCATGACATGGCATGGACATGCTGCTATGTCCTCACCGTTTTTCCTCTCGTGCCTTCGTTTGAGCAGGATATTGCAAGATGTGGAACAACGAGCAGAACCCATGTGACCCAGACATGCCAGGTGATCCCACGTCAGCACACTTCCAGCACAGGGAGGACAGGCGCTTCGTGGTGGGAGGGCACTGCAAGGGAGGAGCCTCCAACTTCCAGTTCCAGAACAGGCAAAGACAGTTAAAGCGCTGACAGGGGGGTTAACATTACCAGCAACCAGATTATTTTGTTGTGGTTTTGGATTGCGCAGGGCGTCACAGTTACCGTCATCGCCCGGATATAAGACATATATGTCTTATCTCGTACACTATAAAAAAATGTTTGGTTTATCTTGTATTTGGGGAGATTCAAGTGTTAAATGGACAAAAAACCGTTTAGAAGATACCCCCTCTTTATATGATTGCCCCTAACCCTTACACTGGCTTAACCTGTACACACAAATAGGTGTCTTATAATGGGGCTAGCTTGTTTATAAGAGACACCCAGATAATAGACAGCCCATGTCTACTATCCGGGCGATGACGGTACTAGAAAAGCTGAAGTAGAGAACACACAGCTGCATGGTATTGGTACTAGTATGTAACACTAAAATGCAGATTTTCTGCTTGTAACATGGAGACTTGGGCAGGGCTGACGCTATCAGACTAAATAGTCTGATTACTCTGACGAATCAGACCATCCAGTTTGTGAAAAAATGTATTTCCAGAGTAGTCAAATTTTCATCACGGAGAGCCTCAGACTTATTGTTTTATGGCCCTTTATTCAGTGTAATAGGCCTCTATGATCGGGCCTCTTGATATAAGGGTGATTCACCCTTATGACACTTACTATAAGGGTGGGTTTTCTTATGCACCCTTTTTTACCAGAGTGGCTTTTCCATTGACCCTTACAAGAAAAGGTGTTTAGATTTACGACACTGATATTTCAGAGTGCTGTTGAACAACTCCATGTAGTTACACACTGACGGTTCTGATCTTGATCTTACCGAGTCTGTCAGAATTCCACACGAAAGGTGTAGTGGCGAGCGCCTGCGGCGGGTTTTGAACCCGCGTGCTCACTACAAATCATCACTCCTACACAACTGGACACCATAACACGTGTTTACTATCTTGTAAAAAGGTCATTGACGACTTGTTTAAAGTTCCACCCTGATTTATAAGTGTGTTCTGAATTTGTACCCTGATTGAAAGAGTGAAACTAGGATGTTGGCCTTATGGGAAAGACCAACTCAAATCCTATCCAGAGGCCTGTCTATGATAGCCGTTTTTGGAGTCTGTCTCTACAGAGGGCCTGTGCTAGGATTTGTTGGGCTGAGAAGCCCTAAGGATCTTTGTAGAGTTAAAGACTAAGTAGGATTGTAATAGCGGAAGCGTTGAAGTAAAGGATTTGAACCACCTTGCGCTAGTATGTGAGGGCAAAGTAAGTTGATTAAAACAAGCAAATACAAGGCTTTATATAAGAGTACAAGGAATACGAATAGATATAATAACTGTATTGCTGTTGCGATTCGATACAGTGCGACTCGGGCAACTGCTCAATGTCGAGTCAGTTGTGTGTCCTTGCTGTCGCGCTGTATTGGTCAAGTCAAAGGTCGCTGACCTTTGACCTTCGCGTAACCTTCAGGCGGTTACCCCAACCTCCGAGGGTTGACTCGCGATGCTTTGATTCGGAGTGCTTCGCTTTTGTATCCAGAGTTTCGACACGACAGAGGCGCTTAATATTTATTGTTCCCAACACTCCCCTTCACTTCTGGAGTGTCGCTGATGGTGACGTGGCCTTGTCCAGTCAGCAGCATGCAGTACTCGAACTTCTGTTTTCCGAGCTTCTTGGTCAAATGGTCGGCTGCCATCTCGGACGTGGGACAGTAGGATAACTCGAGTCTTCCTTTCTCGATCTCGTCTTTCACGAAGAAGTATCGCAGAGCGATATGCTTCGTTCTGTTCGCGAATCCGCTTTTGTTGGCGATGCGAATTGCAGATTGGTTGTCGCAGTGCAGGGTGAAGTTGGGTAACTCAGCTAACTTTGCTTCTTCCAGCAGCTCGCGAAGGTAGAGTCCTTCCTTGGTGGCTGAGCAGAGGGCGATATATTCTGCTTCAGCTGAAGAGAGAGCGATTAGTTCCTGCTTACTCGACTGCCAAGAGATAGGTCAGATAGGCTCGAGACGATAGACGTAGCCGGTGCGAGAGCGCCTGTTTTCTGGATCGCCGGCATGGTCGGCATCGACATAGCCGATTAGCTTCGTTGACACAGCTTCGTTCTTGTAATAAGTCAGGCCAATCGTCGGTGTGCTCACGAGATAGTGCAGTGCGCGATCGAGCTCTGCCAGGTGATCTACTTCAGGCCTCTTGAGATAAATAGCGAGCTGGCTAGCGGAGTAGGACAGGTCTGGGCGTCAGGTGACGGCTGCGAAGAGTAGACAGCCCAGTTTTCGCTGATAGTCGCGTATTCCGGCAGCTTTGAGTAGGGCGGAGTTTCCTTGGCCGTTTCCTGCCGTGTAGCGGTATGGTGTGGCGATAGCGGTGGGTGTGAGCGAGAAGCGCTTGGCGATCGTGTCGGCGTATTTCTCGGCGCTTAGATAGATTGCGTTTTCTTCTTCGCGGATGTTGAGCCCGAGGTACTGCGTAACGGTAGAAGAAACCGTGAACGTGAGGTCAATGTGTAGCTCCCCTTCGAACCAGGTGGTGACGTCGTCGGTGGAACCGATGTAGAGGAGATCGTCGACGTAGACGATGAGTAGGATGTAGTTGGCGTCTTTAGTGAGTCGGTACATGCCCTGGTCATGGGGCAGTTGGCGGAATCCGATGCGGATGAGGCGGGTGTGTAAGTGCTGTTGCCACAGCCGTGGGGCCTGTTTGATTCCATAGAGGGATTTTAGCAGTTGGCAGACTTGATTGGGTTCTCCGTGGGTACCGTGAGGTAGCTCGACGAAGATGCCGGCGTCGACAGGTGCGTAGAGAAAGGCGTTGGCGACATCAATTTGTCGCAGCTTTTTCTTCTTCATGGCGGCAACGGCGAGAAGAATTCGAAGTGAGGTATGTCGACTAACTGGGGCGAATGTCTCGGTGAAGTCTCGCCCTTGTTCCTGGTCGAATCCTCGCACGACCCATCGTGCCTTGAACTTCTCGATTGTACCATCTGCTTTCATTTTGATGCGGAAGACCCACTTCCCGGTGAGAATGGTCTTGTTCCTTGCCACGCTTGCGGGAACGGCCTTCCAGGTGTTGCGTTTCTCCAGCGCTTTTAATTCTCTGTCCATGGCTTCACGCCATTTTGAGAAAGTACGAACGAGAAGTGGAATGACTATGAACGAAGTGAGTACAAATAGGAAACCCTAATTGGGTTGTACCCCCTATGGGATACCCCACTATAGCCTACAGAAACAAGTAAGCTATAAGTTCTGACACACCCCCATAGGCAAAGTGGGGGAGAACAAGGGGTCACAAGACCGGTCAAGCAAAGCAAAGCAAAGCTCAGGGTGGATCACAAAGTCACCACGCATTCCGAGCACAAGTTCAAAGGCCACAAGGCCAGTTCACATGCAAGATCATATATAGAGATATACAAGAGCAAGAGTATATATATGCGAAAGTACAAGCAAGGTCAAGAGGAGAGCAAGTGAGGCAAGACAGGCACAAGACCCAACTGCGTGCAGCAACGCTGATGATCACAAGGCGCAAGTGCCTTGGTGAAGACATCAGCAGTGTTGGCCTCAGAGGCCACGTACGCAAGTCGCAGCTGTCCACGCTGCTGTAGCTCACGAGCAAGAAAGTAGCGAAGAGCAATGTGCTTCGTTCTGTGCTCCAGTCGCTGCTCTCGATACAAGGCCAGCATGGCCTTGTTGTCTACGTACAGGACTGGAGGAGAACGAGGCTGCTCTCCAAGGTCGGTCAGCAGGTAGGTGAGCCAGCGTAACTCCTGTGCAGCCATAGCCCCAGCGTAGATCTCAGCCTCACAACTGGAGCCGAGAACAGAAGACGAGCGGGTAGCCCGCCACGAGACAGAGCCGGAACCAAGGCTGAAGGTGTAACCCTGTGACGACCGCTGCGTAGCCTGGTCGTCAGCCCAAGAAGCGTCTGCGTGCCCAGTGAGGACCACTGGACTGCGCCCTCCAAGCACTAGCCCCATGCCCGACGTACTGCACAAGTAGCGCAACACCCTCTTCGCTGCAGCCATGTGCTCTGGTCGGTGTCTCCCAGGAGCAACAAAGCGTGCGAGAATGCTAAGAGGGTATGCGAGGTCAGGTCGTGTGCAGGTCATCAGGTACATGAGGCAGCCAACAAGCTCTGCAAACGGGCCACTCGACTCTACGGACTCATCCGAAGGCAGAGCTGAGAGCGAGTGGCGAGTAGGCAGAGGAGTGGCCTGAGGCGAGGAGTACGTGAAGCCGAAGCGCTGAAGGACCTGCTGCACCATGTGTGACTGAGTCAGGGTAATGGTGCGGCGTGCTCTGTCCCGAGTGATCTGCAAGCCAAGGTAGCTGCGCAGTTCACCCAGGTCAGTGCACGTGTGTCTCTTCTGCAGCTCGGACTTCACGTAGGCGAGTCCAGCAGTGTCAGCTGTGGCAAAGACCAAGTCGTCGACGTACACGAGGATGTAGAACGGCGGCAGAGAGGTGTCGGTGCGCAGAAACAGCGACGGGTCGGCAGTGGAAGGAGCAAACCCAAGTGCCGCGAGCGTAGTCCTCAGTGTGTCGTGCCACTCACGTGGCGCCTGGCGGAGACCGTAGACTGGACGCCGGAGACTCCACTAGGTACCAGGAGGGAAAGACCCAGTGAAGCCAGGTGGGCGACGCAGCCAGATCTCCTCGTGCAGGCTGCCCTGCAAGAAAGCTGTGCTGAAGTCGAGAGAGTGCAGCTCGTAGTCACGGTGAGCAGCAACGTGTAGCAGAACCCGAAGAGTGGTCATCTTCGGGGTGGGGGAGAAGGTCTGAAAGTAGTCAACCCCCTGCCGCTGACTGAAGCCACGAGCCACGTAACGCGCCTTGAAGACAGGCGGAGAACCCGGCGGCCGCTTCACCCTGAAAATCCACATGCCACTGACGATGTTTGCCCCAGGA